AATCTCCTCCTGTGAAGTTTAATGCCTCTGTAAGGTCCCTAGAGGGTCAGCTTTGAGTTGGTTCCAACTCAAAGGTACCTAACAACAACTCATTTGATGAACCTCTGGTGGCCTTCTTGTGGATGGGAGCTGCACTTTGAACCAAAAGAGATATAGTTCGAATCCACCTGCTGCTGTGAGGGAGAATGATGAACAGTCTTTACTCGTGTGATTTACAACCTCTGAAAACCCTCTGGAGTGTCAGCTAGAAGTCAGTTCTCATCTGATTTGAGTAACCACCACCATTTGACATAGATAATATTTTTGTATCTTGAATTTTCTTTAGCTAACAGCGTACCTAATTTGACTGGTTTTGGTTTTACCTTACTGGCTACATGTTCTTAGTGTTCTTTATTTGCTGATGTCTCTTACCTTCCTAATTTCTATTAGTGTTCCTTGGACATTTGCACTCACTCAAAGCTCACTTTTATGCAATCTTACAAAGATTCATGATTTTAATATCATATTGCTAATGCCTCCTTCCCCATATGTAAGTTCAATACCTTGTGTGTCTCTTTTGAGATGCCTATGCAATACCAAAGGATTTTTGGTGGAAGACTGATTAAGAATTTGGCTGGTCACCAAAACATTGTTGATTGGAACCTTCAAACCATTTGGAGAGAGATGTGTGCTAGTTTGCTTTCATAATGATTTGGACAAAGGAGCAGTTCTGCTCTGTGCTGTAAGGTTGCTATGAGTCATAATCTACTCAAGACAAGGGATACGATGGGCACTGAATATCGAAAGCCTCATGAGTCCACACCCAAAGCCCTGATTTTCCCCTCTTAACTATGGCCTTCCTATCTTTTCACTCAACAGTGGTTAGTGTATAGGGAGTTGTGCTGCCTACCCAAACCAGTTGTGCCTTTCTGGTGGTTTGAATCTACCATTGGCTCCACTGGAGAATGATTGACTATCTCCTCCATGATTATTTACAGCTTGGAAACCCACTGAAGGCCACCTAGAAGTCAGTTCTGACTTGACAGGAATAAGTTTGTATATTTTATCTTTGCAAATGTTATCTCTAAACATTTAACTGTCAAGGTAAAAATCTTGGTTTGTTGTTATGTACCGTTGAGTCAGCACTGACTGATAGTTGACCTTCCAGAGTCTGTCCAGAAGCTATAAATCACAAAGGAGGAGACTGCCTACCTATCTCCCAAGGAGAAGTTGGTGGATTTGAACCTCATGCCTTTGAGTTGCCAACATAACTCCTTACCACTAAGACAATAATATTAGAGTCACCATTAATGCCTGACTGTTAAAAAATAGATTTAATTAGTCAATAAATCATGTTATTTTTATATTCAAGAGCTGGCCACCATTTTTTTAGCTGTTTCTTAAAGCATGTGCTAATATATATCACATATATGTTATGTTTACATA